GTGTGTGTGTGTGGTGTGTGTGTGTGTGTGTGTGTGTGTGTGTGTGTGTGTGTGTGTGTGTGTGTGTGTGTGTGGTGTCATGATTCGGTTCTGTGTTGCTTCCTGTCAGGCTTTTATTTTGATGCTACGTCCTGTTTTGTTTCACCACAGTTTTGGTCTTTTTACTTTCTTCATCACCCGCATTAGTTTCACCTGCTCATTATAGTTTGCACCGCATCATAAGCAGCCTTCACCCACCAATCCCAGCCAGATTGTTCTAGACGCCACCTCTCACTCTCCAGCATTTTTCGGTTTTGGTACTTTGTGTTTTTGACCCGGCTTGTTCCTCTGACTATTCTGTTCTGCCTTGCCCTCTTGCTTCAGACTGTCACTGTGTATAATTATCGGACTTCCCTTTGGACTACGTATTTGGATTCCTCTGCTGTATGTGTTTGCTGGCTCTGATCTCGGACTGTTTATACCGACCTGTGATTTTTGTGTTTCACCGTGTCTTGTATGGTTTTGTTTAGCGTTAGTTCTCTTATTAAAGAGACGGTTTTGTTTTACATTTCCTTGTCTGGCCTTTTAATTGAGTTCACCCTCAACATTTTTGGCAGCATAACGCGCCGATTCCTGACATGTGGTGTGTGCGTGTGTGTTTGTCTTTATATACTTGTGCGAACCAACCCCTGATGGAACACCTTTCTTGTGTGGACATTTCATTGGTGACTTTCACCAATGCGGTTTCTGTACTATGATGGACTCTAAATCCTGACTGAAAATCCTCAAACAAATCATTCTTGTGCAAGTGGTCACATAACTGCTTTGCAACAGCTTTTTCAAGGATTTTGGAAATAAATGGGCGATTGGATATTGGTCTATAATTAGCTAGGACACCTGGGTCAAGAGTAGGCTTTTTGAGTAGAGGTTTAATTACTGCAAGTTTAAAAGCCTGTGGAACATAACCTGTTAATAGAGAGAGGTTAATCAGATCTAGTATGGATGTGTTGATTAGGGGAAAGACGTCTTTGAGCAGCCTGGTCGGGATGGGGTCCAGGAGCCATGTTGATGATTTAGATGAAGCAATTGTTGAGGTCAACTCAGAGAGATCTATAGGGGAGAAGTAGTCCAAGTATAAATGAGGTCTTACAGATGTTTCTAAAGCCATTGTAGTAGATGGCACATCTGCGAGAGCTGTGGGAGTGGTCCGACCAATTTTTTCTGTAATAGTTGTGATTTTATTTGTAAAGAAGCTCATGAAGTCATTGCTCCCGAGATCTAAGGGAATGTTAACCTCAATAGTACTGTGTCTCTTTGTCAGCCTGGCTACAGTGCTGAAAAGAAACCTGGGGTTGTTCTTATTTTCCTCAATCAGTGATGAATAAAATGCAGTTCTGGCACTATGAAGGGCTTTCTTATATGTTATTAAACTATCTTTCCAGGCTATGAAAAACTCTTCTGACTTAGTGGAGCGCCACCTCCTTTCCATTTTTCGTGATGCCCGCTTTAGGGAGCGGAGCTGCAAGCTGTACCACGGGGCTAGCCTCCTCTGTTTCACTACCTTCTTTTTCAGAGGGGCAATGGTATCAAGTGTATTACGCAGGAAGGCTGCAGTACTATCAA